AGCGACTTCGCGTTCGCAACGCGAAACATTTTCACTGCAAGAGATTACTTCCGAATTTTTGTGGGCAAAAAATAAAATGTGGACCTGTTTTATGGCACACGTAATTTTTCGCCACCCTGTAGTTTGTTGGCATGGGGTCTGAAATCCATGTATGGGTGACTCCTCGCAGTCCGTCGAACTTTGGACCATAAGAGATACGAATCAAGTCAACTGACTGACCCTCCCCCTCGTCGGGTCACACTTAGCGGTTGCAGTTGCGAGTGGAGCGATCTGAAAGTGCCTTCTAAACGTCAGCCAAAAGAAGCACTAATCTGGTTACAGGCGCCTCCGCCTTGAAACAATAGAATGAGAAAGCAAACAAAGCAAATAACTAGAAATAGCAAAAGGAACTGAGAGAGAATAAGACTGGTGGCAAATGTGATGCATAACCATGCGTTGCTGTCACCGCTGAATACCAAGTTTAATTGAACCTCCCTCCCTCTCGAGATCCTGATGGTTAATGATTAACGTCCTGTTTGGACCTAAAAATTTTGCAAAATTGATTTTTAGGCATTTTGTGCAACTATTTTCTTTTCTGCTTCTTTTTCAAACAAGTATTTTACGCTTTTGGAAGTCTGAGTTCATCCGTTTGTGTTGTAATGTTGAATTAATAAGGAGTGATTCACTGTAGTTCCTACAGAGACGAAACTAGCGATAAGCTGACACAGTTGAAATTTGAATGAAGCGGTCTTAGGTGGTGCGTTGGTAAAAAAAAATACCAGCAACATGGTGAAAATCGCGTCCCATTCTCCCCTGCTAATTTCAAATCTGGAGTACTTACCCACGGCTATGGCGTTTCGTTGGTTGCGCACAAATTGTTTTTGTAATCATACCATAGTAGTTAGGGCGATTTGCGCGACCGATCGCGAGCTCTGATACCAGTCAAACTACTAATAGTACAAGGTGCTCTCCAATTCTGCCGCCATTTCTGTTTGATGGTTGAATGACGACTGTTCGTGATTCCACTTGTTTCAAAATTTGTGTTTCGAATGTTCAAATGGGGCTTACGCGATTCTTGCGCTAAGCGCGAATCGCGCGACTTACCACGGACTCGACACTAGTCTATGTGCCACATTTCGTTACGTACGGTTGGCGACTGTCGCCATAGCGCGCGGCATGTTCGCGACTCTCAGCGAGAAAATGAAAACTCGCAATTCGCGCTTTCTCATCCATTTCAATTGACTCGCCTCATTACCCTACCCCCTGAATTAGCTGCATTTTCTTTTCTTGCGGATTCTTTGCTTTGCAGTAAAGGACCCCATGAAAAATAATGCTTGCCCCGCGCGATGACTCCCCTCAGCCAAAGAATAATGTAGCTATAGTATTCCATATATCCTTCTTTATATAAAGCGCTAACTTTGTGTGTCGGTTTGTGTATCTGTATGTGTGTGTGTGTGTGTGTGTGTGTGTGTATGTATGTGTGTCCGTCCGCAAAATGAAGTGAGTGAGAAGGAAGCTCATGGGATAAACAAACCGCTAACAAATCGGGTAGCTTACAGGATTTGAGATATCAATGTTTTGTAGCAGGATAGTTGTGATAACACTCTTAGGGCTATATAAACACCTGCTTAGCACACTTCCGTTCATTCCACATGGTGCTGCAGTGGCAGCTGGAGGGCAGTGGAGAGAGGAAGGGAGGATGAGGAAGGGAAGCGAAAAATCTACCGTCATATCATGATTGTGTCCCTTCTACTGTATGAAACACCATTGTGTTGCATACGCGTCACTTCCAGGAGGTGTTGGTGTCACAGGAGGAAGGGACCATAGCGGAGGATAGAAAGCTTGCGCAGGAAAGGAAGGTCCCGGCGGTTGACGGGGGACTAATCTGGTAAATAATATAGTATTCGCACTGCAGAAGGGTCATTCTATACACAAAAGCGAAAGCTGAAATCAGTAATATTTCGAGTCAGGTTCGAATTGAAGGGCACCTTCCAGAGGAAAGCCACGCAACACATTAAGGGTATGGCATGTCTGGATACCTTTCGAAACATTTTTTGCACCCTATAATTGTTAATCTATTCGATAGGATGCTCTGCCGCAAACGCCGCCACATGTCTCTTCTGGTCCCTCCTCACCCGGTTCACTGCCATCTTTTTCTTTCAATACCATCATTTCTCGCGGAGTTTTCTTTAAGTTTTGGTTCTGACACGTCGAGACCGGCACGATTTTGCATAGCGCTACGCTTCTAGCCACTCAGCAAGTTTTGATCATGAATGATATAAAATATCCATGACTGCCTAGAACCAATCTGTATTGTAGAAGTAAAAGCTGCCAGGTGCAGTAGTGGAAATTTGATCGGTAGACGTGAAATAGTAACAATGAAAAAGCAAAATTTGTCAGAATCAGCTGCGATGACCTTAAAAGCAATTTTATCTCGATTGTTTCAGTTAACATTCTTGTCATCATCCCTAAGGTTCCGTAGCTACTTCCACTATTTGTTTGATCTTCGCATTCATAAGAATAAAGGAAACGAAAAATCAAGCAAACTGAATATTTCGTAAGATTTAAAAATCCTCCTCTGAGTTAGAGCATACGTGACCATTCTATCGGTCATTATGTTTGTAACTATGCTTCTTATATATAGATCAAATTCAAAAACTTCTAAATGAACAGTATGCGCGAAAAAATGTTTTCGTTGTGTGGGATAACGTATGTCACCCACGGTACGCACAAGCCTGCATCTGCTGGAATATAACGTTTCCGCGTACCTCTCAAGTGTGTTTAAAATTGTTTCATTGTGACCAATTTACAGCCAACGATATTCGCGAATCTCGCGATCAAGAAACAAGCTTGGAATCTTCGCTCTTTATCAAATAATATTTCAAAATAATGAAGCTCGGGAAATGACCATGAGTTGTATTTTAGTGACTTTCATGCGAATTTAGGACTTCGAGGAATGTGGTGAACGTGATGTGCGACTGTTACGACGTGTAAAACTTGTACTACCGAAGGATGAGGCTGAATTCATCAAGTCCGCTGAAGTGTTGGAAGAGCAGTCACGTTAGAATCCTCAAGATGCAAGGTTTTTTTTCTAGAATTTTTTTAAAATTGTTTGCTCGTTGGTTACACATTCAGCGGTGCAGAGGTGTGGGGTGCTAGGACAGAGAGCTGGTTTTCACTTTTCGAAGTGCGAAGCTCTTTTGCAGCGAAGACCCCAGGTCCACCCCTGCATATGAATTTCTGTCTTTGCGACCTAACCCAGACGTTTAGGAGCACTTTCGACCCAGCGTTGCTTGCGATCGAAAGTGCTCCTGAACACTATAGATAATACTTTTTCCTTTCTTTCATAAACATTGTGAAAGACACACCTTTTTTCACGCCCGTTTTTTTCGCTTTAGTTTCTTCTTTGTTTTCTGTAACAATTTTTCAATTTCACAGAATAAACATTGCCAAAAATCTAAGTTGGACATACTAGACAACAAATGAACAAGCTAACCACCCCAGTTTCAACAGTTTCAATCATTGCATTGCTCAGCGAGTTAGAGAGTACTAACCAGATCGTCTACAGTCACCCATCACCATGGCCTATGCGTAGTGTAAAATGTTACCGCGCAAACGCGAAAAAAGTCGCGTTTCTGCCCTCTGAATCATACACCTGGACCCCGGATTTACTCAAAGAGCGCGTCCTATACCCAGAGGTGACAACTCCCGCCGCCTGATTTTTATCCTGGGCTCAGCGGGACGGAGGTTGCGTCAAGGACCGTTTGAACGCCATGATGTGATAGCTACCCTCCTTTTAAGACACTTCTTTTTAAGGGGCGTGTGTCTTAGTCTAGACACGCAAGGTATGGCAGGTCTTATGACGCAACCTTGTCTCCCCCATCCATAGGCAAGGATCAGCGCCGCGGAATGTGTTCCTCTTCACCCATCCTATCCTTTCCGGGTGCGTCGCAGTTCTCCGGGGCATAGGCATAAGCACAAACCAATGTGAAAGCATAGCTCAAGCCCCAGCCTAAACCCAAGCATAACCTTAGGCTTTGGTTATCGCGCAGCTCTAGTGGCCTGAGGAGGAGAACTGAACGTCTCCCGGATAGGATACGGCCCAGATACGCGCTAGACCTTAGGTTCCCGCAGCGAGAAATGTTTCGAGCTGTGAAACGCGAAGAAGTCGCTTTCTGTCCTAGCGAATCACTCCCACGGACCACTCTAATCAGTTTTTAGTTATCTACCTCCTGTTGAGGATATTCCAAGTTTTGCATTTGCACCTTAAAATTGTGCAGATACACCTTAAAAGTGGTAATTTCCAGGTTTTTCCCACCCAAACGTTTTCGAGGCAGAGAATAAGACATCGAGCTTCCGCCATCATTCGGGTGTCCGCTGCAGAAATCATCAAACTCGGTCGCTTTTTGCTTGATTTACTACCAATGCATGTTTTTGTGTGTACCTGTTCTCCTGTAATGTTTTTGTTGATGTTGCACAAACTAATTTACAATGGCTCAATCGTACTACATACACGTTGTTTTCTATAGTGGATGTGCTTGCTTGTTTTTACAATCAATTGGTGCTGCGCTCAGGGCGAAAGCTACTCATGCTGATGCGGCTCTTATGCTTAGGCCCTTTATGAAGTAAGCACTGTAGAAGCTGCAAACCTAGTTTCACTTTCCCGTGTCTTGGTGAAGCTTTCTTCCGTAACTCAAGTGGACAGTGACGTCAATATAACGCCTAGCAGGGTGTTCCAAGTATTCGAGGAAACTGAAATCCAAATAAATATTTCTCATATTGATTCATGAATAGAAGATTGGTTAATTGCAGAGGGCCTATGCGACCAGTTTCGGAGGGTCTTGTTTTCTGACGTGCACTTCACCTTGGTGGGCGGTTTCGCAGATTGCTATGAACGTCTACCTCACAGGGGCCGTATGCAACAAGCCCCGAGGCTTCGGGGATATATCCCCGAAGTCGTATGCAACAAGCCCCGACGATCGTCGGGGACATATCCCCGACGACCTTCGGGGCTTGTTGCATAGGGTCGTCGGGGAGGATTCGTCGGGGATGAATCCCCCTAGTCTCGACTAGGGGGATTCATCCCCGACGGCCTCCAAACGTACGTGTTACTTGAGTTAAGCTCACTGGTCAGTAAGTGGACTGTCGGTGCGCGTCGCGGTCGAGCTGACCGCGGGATTTCGTACAAGAAGCTTTCTTCAGCATTTATGAAGGGTTACCGTAACTCAAAAAGGGCGTAAACTGGAGTGCTGTGTTGCGGTGGCCGCACGCACAGCATCGAACTCAACGCCAAATGCATTGGAGCATGCCCGATTCATTGCGGTTTGTAAATGTTGGGATGCTCTACTGTGTCGTAGAATTGAAGCCATTCGAAGGACAAATTCACGGCTAAACAACTCGCAATAGATTTGCATGCAAGTATTGCAGTCTTTTATCTTTAATACGCTTTTATAGCGTATTCTTCCCTTCGAGTACTTTAAAAACCATTGTATCCGTTTCAAAAAATGGTCTTGATGGACTCTCGAAGTTTCCGAACTTTTAGAACGAAATGTTCTGGAGATTTATAATCCGAATAGAATGGAGAGGACTTTGAATATACTTTGAACACGTGTAGATCCTTTCGGTCTTCCAAATTACAATCAGTCTCTTAGATCTTAACATCACCAGCGTATAAAAAGCATTGACAAGCTAAAGCTAGAAATAAACCAGGTGAGTCACACGCATAAGTGAAAGTTGAAGTTGGGACGGTGATCATCGTGAAAAGTCACACGCATAAGTGAAAGTTGAAGTTGGGACGGTGATCATCGTGAAAGTGGCCAAGTGCATTAGTATGTGTTATGGGCTGCCTATGCGAACTAAATAACTCCACGTAGGCGAAGAAATATTTCATAGATGTCCCCCAATAAAGTAAAATCAGGCCCACCTTCATTGCCTTCACCGTCTCCAGAATCTGACGTCATTCGTCATCCGTAGAGCTCAAGGAGGCCTACCATAAGCGCTCCATTCTTAGACTGCTACATAATTTCTTCAATCGGATAACGGTGAAGGCTTCT